CATCCTGTATGCTCTCTCTCTCTCACACACACACACACACACACACACACACACACACACACACACACACACACACACACACACACACACACACACACACACACACACACAAAACTAATAGCCATTTACCCGGCTTCATTGGATTTATACTAGACCACAGGCTTCGGTCTCATCCCCATGAGAAAAGGAGATGAAGCATCTCAATTACTTTTTCATAAGGAACGGTGAGGACAGTGGCGGTTCTTGATCGAGAGGCTGCAAGAGGATACTGGTTAACCCTTGTTGTAAAGGACGATGGTGCTGTGCCTTTAACCGATACGTGTCACGTAAGTAGTCGTTATATTCCGTGTTCAACAAATATGAAACACAGGCATGAATACATCGAAATCTGCGGTGTGCCTCATATGTCTGGATATGAAATACTTTTCTGTTACTTTAGATATATGTGATGCGGGTATGGGCAGAAAAATGTGCAAATGATTTAGCTGTGAATCAATCACAATTTTTATATGATCTGGAGTTTTACGCATTTGCATTGCAGCTCTATGTGGAGGTAGAAGATGTGAATGACCATATCCCTCAGACCGAGGATCCTTCATACCACCCATACGTGGCCGAAGATTCAGCTCCAGGAACCTCTGTTATTGCCCTCACGGCCTCCGACGGCGATCTTACTCTCTCCAACCTCTCCTTTGCCATCACTAAGGGCAATGATGAATCACATTTCCAGATTAATGCAGTTACAGGTTTGTGTAGCAATCAAATTATTACTTTAGTATTCAGTAAAGATAGTGTGTAAGATATCAGTTAAAATATATATGTATGTATGAGCATAGATTAGGGTTTTTCGATATACCACCTTGCATCTGATGCTCAGGAATCTTAGGTCTGATTTTTTGTCATTTCTATTTTATAATAGTTTCTTAAGTCTGTCTTATTTATCTGACCATATGCAATTTAGGTAAGTGATACAACTTCTTGGTATGTAAATAAATATGTAATTCATTTCTGTTGCAGGGTTGGTCACTACGGCTTGGACTCTAGATAGGGAAACTCGGCCAGAATATGAGATATGGGTGACTGTCTCGGATGGACAGCTTTCCTCAGTCACTCCCATCTTCATCACAGTCACCGATGTCAACGACAACCCTCCTGAATTTTTAGAGGCCTTGTACCGTGTTACTATACCTGCACGACCGAAGACCAAAAAGAGGGAGGCTTTATTCAGGGTAAGATACCAATTTTTTTTTCTTTTTTTTGGTAAAACAGTGGAATTTCATACAATATCTAATATGAGCGACTAAAGCTAATTCACTTCTGGGTTATTATTGAATGATCTTCAGAGGTTAGTTGAGAAGCAGTTTATGAATGTCCGTGAAATTTATACACATGTTTTGTCTTACTGAATTGTCACGGTAATTGGTTTATAGTTCTGTAGTGAATGTGCTTGTTTCTGTTTGCATTCGCGCAGGGCGGTAGTAAATCCCCCATTGTTGTGGTAAATCTGCAAAGAAATAGGAACCTGATATAAAACTGATGTGAACTTTGGCTCTCTCTCTCTTTCTCCAGTGAAAAGTGTTAACTGCTTCAATGGAGTCGTTTGATAAGCAAGTATGTTTATCAAACTCTGCTATGGCATATCATATAATTAAAACAGAATATATATGCAATCAAAATTTTGTAATTTGGCCGTTTAGGAGATTGAATAATATACGTACTTAGATAATCCTTCCTTTATCCTGATTAATCAGTGGGCTTCAATAATGAAAACGCAAATAATCTTGCACATTTAGGGCCTCTTCTGCAGCGCCAGATCCAACCCTTAACGTTAAAGAACAGAGCTCAGAGCTTGGCGATGGGTAGAGCCATAACTATGATATCACACTTGGACAGAGCTGGCAGCAAAACCTTAACAGCTCGCTGAACTGTTAAGACTTTTCGTTAACGTTAACAGTTGGGTTGACGGTGCAGAAGAGACCCATAGTAACACTATATAAAGAAGAGAACAAAAAATATACAAACTTTAGGATAGTTCTATATGCAAAGTATTTAGGGAATACGTTCCTTACGTTAGAAAATATAATATGTTTAGAGTCCACACTACATGATTACAAATGTTGGAAGCTAAAAACTAAAAACCCATGTTACCATAGACTCCCATGACTCCTGTAACACCTACCCCCAGGGACGAATGAAAGCTGGAGTCCCATTTCTGAGAAGCAGTGAGAGAAACCACATTCAAGTACCTATAGTATTATTTACATCTTCGTTACTTATTTTATAACATATCGTTTACTGGAATTTCATACACCTTTCCTCACTGGCCACATACCCTGTTAGCCTCAGGCACAGCTTCCTCCTCCCCCTACCTACTCACAAAACTCACAACCCAGCAATATATATTAAGTTATTTATAATCAAGTCGTGAACTGCTACCCCTCCATGATGTCCAAATAACAAATGTCCTGTAATGGCCATGGACATGAGATCTTTCCTAGGA